ACGAAAGACTCGATTGATTGTTCAGCACTGGAGATTAATGCACTACTGGCTCCTGGCAACTGCTCAGTGTCAATATGCGATATGACTCCTGAAAACAGTTCATGCGGATCGCGCAAATTGTCCGCCGACTGAGTTCTATTCGGAGGTGATGAGGTGTGCATCACATGAAGGGTCCGAACTGTGACATCAGAACTGGCACTTCAGAGGATGTGAACCAAACTAAATGAAAAATGCAAATGAGCGTGTTCTGACAAGAAATTGGCATCAAACGTTCAGAATTTTGTCTATTTGTTTAGTTCTATCATAAAAGTCGTGAAGTAGGCCGAACACTAGGGCAACTACATGGCGTTTCAAGTCACACTGGAGCATGGGAAAGGCGCTCTTACATGTTCGATCACGCCATCAGTCGGGTTCATGCTTGCATGTCAAGTAGATTTTTGCAATAGAAACAATAACTGGAATCAACGCGAATAATCACGAAATGCCATTTTGCATGCTCCTAACGTTTAAGGAAGGCAAGCTAAGTAACCGGAGCAAGCAGCATGTGGTTCCTGAAATATCTTTTGTGCAAAGTAAATGTGGTAGAAATTCCGTAAGGTTTTTAGGGAGAAGCAGTTAAAATAATCCCAAATTTGCATTTTGCTCTGTGGATTCCTTGTCCAGGGCAACATTTGTCAAAAATTCGCAAAAGATAAATCGGAAGAGGTTCGCTATGTTCTTGAAGACGATTTTTCCATATACAAGTCTTGTGGCTGTATGCGAGGTGCATCGGCCAGAAACAGACAAGTATGAGTTGCTCCTCATTACCCCCTATACGAAGAGGCCTCAGAAACGACCGCCAGGTGCTCAGTACTTAACTCTGAATGACCACGCTCGTTGGACCGGCATTTCTAAAAGCAGAAGAGTAGTTTCCTTACGCGCAAAGTCCGCTGTCTAATAATATTCCCTCGCTGTTTTTTCTTCATGAGGATATGCTCTACAAATAAGAGACAACATTTCATTTGACGGTCATAAATTCCGCTGCCGAAGTTCTCAGGCGGACTGTGTACATGTTTACCCTAGTTTCATCTCTACAGCCTGTCAATTCTTAGCGCATTTTCTTCGAAGCAGCAGCGTTGGAGAGTAGCTAAATATAAAAGCTCATGGACTGATCAGTCTTTACGGCACCTTGCGTCCTATCTGAATTTAACTCGGGAGGAGTTCAGGACAACAACTTGACAGGCTGTGGACTGTTGAAAACCAAAGTAGGCGCAAACAGATTTTTTCCTAACGCTGAAACAATTTCCTCTGCGAAAACAGATAAAGGATTTAGGTTGTCAGATGAAGAATCAAGTAAAAAATTGACAGTTACATATAAGAGAATTAAAAAACCACATGTCGAAAATAATAAAAGACCAGCTGTGAACTTAAATTCGATTAAAAATGAAGGATGAAGACTGCGCAAGACATGCGCGCCGGAACAATGTTGTGTATACAAGGCAAAATACACGAACATTAATCGTTGTGTGCTTCAGGATAACTTTTAAGGACAGGCACAAATGGCAGCATTGACGTAAAACGGCATTTAACTATTTTTGGGGCGATTAATTCTAGAGAACTTCGCAATACTGTGGCGTAAAAAAACCCACCAGCACTGGGGGCCGCAAATGACATGCGACCGGCGTTTGACAGACCAATTTGACGAAGGCGCGTTGCATTCGAAGGTTCCTTAAGGAAGGTTGTTTAATTTGTGGGCTCCCGCCTGCGTTAACCCACATGAATGCGTGCCTTCTCCCGAAAAGCATTTATGCAGATCCTAACCCAGGCGCGGAAAGTGCTTATTTAAATAGAAATAAATGGTAGGGGGGGAGACGATGAGGATGGACGTGATTGTCTGTGAGCGGACAGAGACTTCTTATAGCAGTATGTGGTGCTGGTGGGGTTAAGAGCGTTCCAGTTGTGGGTCCACGTGAGGGTCGCGGTAAGTCGCTCATTCGCTTGCAGGTTTCGGCCACGTCTAGCGTCTCCTCTGGCACCCAATTCTCACTTGTGGCTGCCTGAGGTAACCTGTATCAAGCGGCCACATCCCGGTAACTGCCTCGACTAACGAGCTAATCTATGTAAGGCTATTTGTTCATTTATACTGACACACTATAATTCTGCCCGTTCTTACTTTTTCGTGCCATTTCTCCGCACTTCTCCTCCTCCCTTCACTCCATCTCTACCCTACAGACGTAATCCACGGTCATATGTCCAGCGACGAGAGCGACAGCAATCACATAGGTGGTCCTGGCCATTCTGTCGTTCCCTCATTAGAGCCCATGACCATTGCTGAGGGTGGTATCTGTCTCGTGCAATAAATTAGCCCTATTTAGGATGAACACTGTTTTTCCCGCGAGGGGAGAGGACCACAAAGGGTTACCTAAAAAGCTGGGATCACGATATCTGCACGTAGGCTTTGGCTCACAGAAGCTCAGCATGTGGTCGACGCCAAGACATAAGACAAAATACTCTCTCTTCCACCTCCTCCTTTTCATCACTCTACCCCACAGTCAAAAATATTTAGTCCACCCATTCTGGAGGCCAGGAATGTTTGTTCCCTATTACGTTATCTGAGGAACAGCCGGCTTCAACGATGGACGGCGCCAGTTGCTCGGGAACTTTCGCGCTGCAAGGCGGACATTGCTACACTCATCGAGATCCGTTTCTCCGAACCAGGCCAACTGGTGTAGGTTGGTGCCGGCTACATCTTCTACTGGAGCAGAGTGGCGTCGTATACAGTCCGAAAACGAAAAAACACTTACTTGTAAATGACGTTCATGGCTTCACAGCAACACTAAAGTGGTACCACGTCAAGAACCGGCCTTTCCTTGAAGGGCAACCTACTGAGATGGCTTGTCATCCAGGATTACCACCAGTTCCCTTTACGGTTGCATTCAAGGGCCAGCAAAACGCTCTAAAGGCGCAATCACAGGAAAGTCTGATATGCTGATGATCTCAGATAAGTTGCCGTTGGCTGTGGATGTTGGGATGTGGAATCAGGTTGTCGAATTTCCCACCCGAGGCTCAAGTATACTTGACCTAATTTTCTGTAGAGGCTGCTTGCCATCGTCAGTGTCATCCCTAGGCCCACTCGGGGGCTCAGACCATGACATAGTTGTTTCAACGTTGGAATTCGAGGCTGACGAAATGTCGTCCCAAAAGTATAACTTTTTCCGCGATTTCCGATCAACTCGCTCAACCGAATTATTAACACACCTTAATTCCTACGACGGGACTGTGTTCTTCCTTAGTTCGGATGTAAATGTTTGCACTGCAAAACTGTAAGAAATTTTGGATCCGCTTATTTCTCGTTTTGTCCCCCGTAAGAAAATTATTAATGTTGGGGATGAGATTTTCCTACCCTTACCCTTTCGTCGCAGATTGCGCAGACTTTATCGTCGTTTCCATCTGCAGAACGATGTTTCCGTTCTGCCCTTGATTCGTAATATTTTTGATCGAGCTAAGAGATTGTCTGAAGAAAAACAGCTAGCCGAAGATGTCCAGATTACCGAAAACCATTCGTTAAATATCTCGAAACCTTTCTCTAGAAAAATACGAACTCAGAGAAAGACGCAGTATCCCATCCTTCGAGACGATCTCGGAAATCCCATAGTTAATGCCCAGTTAACCGCGGATAGCTTCAATGATTTCCTGTCCAAAAGGTTTATTGAAGACTCGACCACTCTGCTTCTGACCATCCAGTCATTGACCGGGGCCGTTATAGAAAATATAACTTTCACTTTGTGGGATGTGACTGTTGCGATTCGGCGTTTTCGTCAATCTTATAGTCCAGGCCCTGATTGTGTCACTGCAAGCATTTCAAAAGCCGATGCAAACACGTTTTCCCATCCCTCATATGCAAGATATTTAATCTCGCTCTTGGAAGTGAAACTTAACCTACATTGTGGAAGGAATCACATATTTTGCCCATTCCTAAGCACGGCAAATCTACATCATATGGTGACTTGATGTATATATATATATATATATATATATATATATATATATATATATATATATATATATATATATATATATGGAAAGGTAATACCGACAAAGACAAGGGAGACCGGAATGGCCATTTCTGGCTTATTAGCCGTCATCAGCCAGTCATACCCAACCCCAAGTGTGGATCACTTGAGATTCGAACCCGGGATCTTTGGTCATGGAGTTGAACGCTCTACCATTGAGCCACGGGCCCGTTGTCCTGTCGGTTGTGATCGGGAATATTAATTATGATAGTGGGCGCTCACCGATCAGGTTACGGAACATGCTCGTTCCGTTGTGCCTTGGGGCTCATAAGCCAGAAATGGCCATTCCGGTCTCCCTTGTCTTTGTCGGTATTACCTTTCCAACATATATCACTAGTCGCTGTGCGACTGCCTGCGAGGGTTTAAGTATGAGCCCCAAGGCACAAACTAGCTGTCCGTCGCCGTGATCCATTGTCCCTCGTCTTTGCACACGCACTCCAGTGCGACCACCGTTTTAATTGGGATAACACAGAGGTCATCGCCACGGCCAACACAAAACGGGCGAGAGAATTCCTAGAGGCATGGCACTCTAACGCGGATAGCATCAACCGCCATGTTGACCTAGACGTCCATTATGAGGGCCTAAGATCACGCCTCACTAAGCCGAGCCCCACGCCGCATCAGCAGCCGCTAATCCAGGCGCCCGCAGTTCTGCCAACCTACCATTCTCCCTCCCCTCCAACACGGCAGCCGTAACGGTTCCCCCCCCCCTTCCTACCCTTCCGGCTCAGAACCCAGCATGACTCCCTACCCGCATCCCTCCTCACACGCTAATGGTTCGTCCGCCAATGTTTGTCCTGTCTCGTCTATTAGTCTAGTGTGACTGTCTCACTCTCTCTTTTCTCTTCATTTCGTCTGACGACGGGTTGGTGTCACCAATTCGAAAATTCACGAGTACAACTCGATTTTTCCGAAGAACCTCTTCCTTTTTCATTATATCCTCTCGGAATGCCTACCACTTCTACTCTACAACATATATTTGGGCGTCAAACGCTTATTCTTACGAGACGTTGGGAGAAATTTGCACAGAGACAGGCGACGACGTTCGAACGATTGACCTTCCTCCACCGTTGCCGCGATCATGGCGTGTTACCGAAGTCTCTTCGTTTCAAACCAACGCTGTCGAATGAGACTTGGAGATCCCTTGAGTACAAATACGGATGGCGCGTTCTGGGGGCTATAATATCTGACGTCCACAATAGACTTCGCAGATTCGAAACCACTCTTGCTGACCTTAAAAATCAGTGTGCTTCAGCCTTACCTGAAAATGTACTCGAGGAGGTGCAACAGCGAATCAATGTCACAGCCAAGGATGCGAGATTGAAGAAGAGAGTTGACCTCCAGATGAAACTCCAGTCTCTGCTCCGCCCCATGAATGAAAGAGGTATGGCCACGAGAGTTGTTAACCTCTCGCAAAGGAATCTCCTACCGGCTGAAATCAACCTCCTGTCTAAGGGAATAGGATTTAATCCCACGGATGCTACACCTACCAACTTTCTAGCTGGTCTCGAATCCATTCTACTGACCTCTGTCCTGCCTGAAGACAAGCGCGCGGACATACGCAGCTGTGCCACTGGTATCCTCCGGCAAAAAAGACACCAGCAAACTCTACCGGCCGAAGAAGCGCAAGGATTGCGAGCACTGAAATCGGACCACAGCATCGTTGTTGTTCCTGCCGACAAAGGTGGCGCTACCGTCATCATGGACAAAACTGACTACGTCAACAAGGCGAATATAATCTTCAGTGACACGGATTCTTACACCATTCTCACCGAAGACCCAACGAAAAAGCAAGCCGCAGCCATCAAGAAAAAGGTTAATGAGCTTGCTCGTCTGAAAGTCATAAGTCCAGATGACTCAAAGTTTATGACCCTCAGTGATCCCCATGTCGCACACGCATACGGTCTCCCAAAGGTTCACAAAGTTGGTGCCCCACTGAGGATTATAGTACCGCTCATCGGATCCCCTACCTACAATTTAGCCAAGTGGCTGTACAAGCATCTGAAGCCGCTAACTCACGGATCTCGCTACAGCATTAACAGCTCCCACGAATTCCTCAACCGGATTGACGGCCTCAATGTAAGCACTGATGAATGCTTCTTGTCTTTTGACGTCGTTGCCTTATTTTCTTCTATACCGCACGACTTGGCAATTGACTGCGTAGCCCAACGGCTACAGGACAATCCTGATGGTATCCCAGCGCACCACGTTATAGAACTGCTCCAACTGTGCCTTAAGAACTATTGTAAGTTCGACAATAAGTACTACCAACAGGTGAAGGGAAGTCCAATGGGCTCCCCAATATCCGGTCTACTCGCCGAACTAGTGCTACAGCGACTAGAACATGAGGTTTTTCAAACTCTCAACCCCAAAATGTGGCTCCGCTATGTAGACGACACCTTTGTCGTAATAAAGAACCGCGACGTCGAAAGGCTACATCAGAGGCTGAATGAAGTCTTTCCGGCCATACAATTTACCCTCGAAGAGGCAGTAGGAGACAGTCTGTCGTTTCTGGACGTGAAAATACAAAGGCTGGATGACGGTAACCTCGCAACCAGCGTCCATAGAAAAGGGTCTGATTCTGAGATCATCCTCAATTATGGAAGCAATCACCCTGCGGCTCACAAAAGAAGCTGCGTCCGAACCCTCTTCCACCGGGCCTACCGGTATTGCAGCAATGAAGATCTGCTGAAGAAAGAACTAGGCTTTCTATATCGGCTATTTCGATCTAACGGATACCCAGTCAGTTTCGTGAAGAACTGCCTCAGACGTCAGGCACAACCTCGAGACCCCTCCTCAGATGGAGTAACCGTGACGCGGAAATTCTTCTCCCTGCCCTATATGCAGGGGACCTCAGAAATGATCGCCCGTCAGTTAAGTCAGTTCGGTATTCACGTTTCCCACAAGCCTGCATCCTCGCTGCGCACAGTCTTAACTCGAGTAAAGGATTCTATCCCCAAAGAGGAACAGACTAACGTCATTCATCGCATCCCGTGTGCCAATTGTCCCTGCGTATATGTTGGTCATACAGGACGACGCCTGGGAACTCGTATTAATGAACACAAACTAGCTGTCCGTCGCCGTGATCCATTGTCCCTCGTCTTTGCACACGCACTCCAGTGCGACCACCGTTTTAATTGGGATAACACAGAGGTCATCGCCACGGCCAACACAAAACGGGCGAGAGAATTCCTAGAGGCATGGCACTCTAACGCGGATAGCATCAACCGCCATGTTGACCTAGACGTCCATTATGAGGGCCTAAGATCACGCCTCACTAAGCCGAGCCCCACGCCGCATCAGCAGCCGCTAATCCAGGCGCCCGCAGTTCTGCCAACCTACCATTCTCCCTCCCCTCCAACACGGCAGCCGTAACGGTTCCCCTCCCCCCTTCCTACCCTTCCGGCTCAGAACCCAGCATGACTCCCTACCCGCATCCCTCCTCACACGCTAATGGTTCGTCCGCCAATGTTTGTCCAGTCTCGTCTATTAGTCTAGTGTGACTGTCTAACTCTCTCTTTTCTCTTCATTTCGTCTGACGACGGGTTGGTGTCACCAATTCGAAAATTCACGAGTACAACTCGATTTTTCCGAAGAACCTCTTCCTTTTTCATATATATATATATATATATATATATATATATATATATATATATCAACGAGGAGGGACGACAGAGAATGCGGGTAGATTGATACAGCACTGTTTCGGGCTTATTCTGCCTTCATTCAGCCAATCATAACCCTGACCACCAGCAGCTGCGACCAGAAACACAAACATGCGCACAGACGCACCTGGCGCAGTCGGTCCACCACTGAGGCCTACCAGATGGGTCATAAGCACTTCATCGAACCGACGTTCATCAGTGCCTCGCCACCTGTCATTCTCTGTCGCTGCAGATCGGGTATTTATGAATCAGGAATGGGCGCACACCGATCTATTGGCTTCACAAAGCAAACAAGCTCCGTATGTGTGGCAAAGGTCACGAACAGGCAACCAATTACCAGGCCGAAGTCGGCCAAGTCATAATAGCAACGAGGAGGGACGACAGAGAATGCGGGTAGATTGATAGATATTATGACTTGGCCGACTTCGGCCTGGTAATTGGTTGCCTGTTCGTGACCTTTGCCACACATACGGAGCTTGTTTGCTTTGTGAAGCCAATAGATCGGTGTGCGCCCATTCCTGATTCATAAATACCCGATCTGCAGCGACAGAGAATGACAGGTGGCGAGGCACTGATGAACTTCGGTTCGATGAAGTGCTTATGACCCATCTGGTAGGCCTCAGTGGTGGACCGACTGCGCCAGGTGCGTCTGTGCGCATGTTTGTGTTTCTGGTCGCAGCTGCTGGTGGTCAGGGTTATGATTGGCTGAATGAAGGCAGAATAAGCCCGAAACAGTGCTGTATCAATCTACCCGCATTCTCTGTCGTCCCTCCTCGTTGCTATTATGACTTGGCCGACTTCGGCCTGGTAATTGGTTGCCTGTTCGTGACCTTTGCCACACATACGGAGCTTGTTTGCTTTGTGAAGCCAATAGATCGGTGTGCGCCCATTCCTGATTCATAAATACCCGATCTGCAGCGACAGAGAATGACAGGTGGCGAGGCACTGATGAACTTCGGTTCGATGAAGTGCTTATGACCCATCTGGTANATATATATATATATATATATATATATATATACGGTCAAACGCCCACTTGACATGCTTATATACCTCACTTCATAAGGCCTATGACGTACTGATGATCGGTAACGACCGTGAAACAGCTGTCTGCGTCTGGCCTGTTGCACTCTTAACGAGCTGCTCATGTATTATATATATCTATATATATATATGCTGCAGCAACAAGCGGACTATGTGACATTTTAGCCATGTGACAAGTGGCATATGTGAATCAAAGTATGCATTAACTTAATGCTGTAATTTCTTCACATTTTTGCATGTTTATCGATTTTTTAAGTACAAATAGGTAGTTCAAAGGCGTAGGCCTATTTCCCTCAAATACACTGACTGACTGACTGACTTTCGGCCAATAAACACCCTCCCCGCATTTTCGAAGATCTTAGAGGCATTGATCAAAGATAAGATGATGTGTCACTTAACAGCGAATAACTTACTGAGTGTTGCTCAGCATGGATTCCCCAAAGTTCGATCTTGTGACACCTGTCAACTCTCTTTCTTTGACTATGTTCTCCAATCTAGGGACCATGGTTTTGCTCTTTACACAGTATATTTCGATTTCACCAAGGCTTTTGACCGTGTTGACGATGCTCTTCTTCTCTTGAAATTGTCCTCTTTCGGAATAGGTGGCAAACGTTTGAATTTAATATCCTCTTATTTGGGCACTCGCACACAACGAGTTAAGATTTCCAATACCATCTCCAACCCCACACGTGTGAGGAGTGGAGTCATGCAGGGTAGTGTACTCGGCCCGCTTTTATTTTGCCTTTTCGTTAATGATGTACCTGATTTATTTCAGAATGGTAAGCCTTTCATGTATGTCGATGATCTTAAAGTTGCATATCGATATAAGCCGGAAGATCATGGCATCGTGCTTGAGCTCCTAAAGAGCGATCTACAGGCTTTCGCCCAGTGGTGCCGCACATGGCGCCTTTCTCTTTCTTGGCATAAGTGCTCAGTCATGGTGGTTGGCGACGACCGCCAACCTCAATTAAGTATTGAAGGTCACGCCATAAATGTGCCAGGGGTTATTAAGGATTTGGGCGTATCATACTCCAAGAGTCTCAATCTCTCGGAGCACTGTGCCTTGATATTCTCCAAAGCACGTAGAACGACCGGGTTTATCCTCCGAAATTTTAAAACTAGGGACATAAGAATGCGCCTTTACAACATGTACGTTAGACCTGCCCTGGAATACTGTTCGTTTTCATTTAGCCTCATGCGTGCTACTGAGCGGAAGAAAATAGAATCCGTTCAACACTTTTTTACCAAGAGAATTTTAACCCCGGAACACCGACATTTGTCTTTCCAAGAACGTTGCCGGCTTACAGGCCTCGATCCTTTATGGTTCCGTAGATTACAAAAGGGACTATTTTTGCTATTTAAACTCTTATATAATCACACATTTAACCCACTCACCTCTTTAAGACATCATATCCACCCACGACGTAACAGTCACTGTGAGGTCTTTTTATTTCTGCCTCTGGCACGTACTGTTGAATATCGTCGGTTCTTTTCTGTAAATGCAATTGCTATTTGGAATAAACTACCCATGAGTGTGAAAACCCTGCAAAATTATCCTTTATCTAAGAGAACTATTACTCGATTTTTGCATTCAGAAAAGCTTCCTCAAATTTTGGGTGCCGAAAACTCTGATCGACTGTACCGTAGCGATGGCGTTTGTGGTCTCTGAACACTATGGCCGGTCTCACCAGCTGTTCCTCAACGCCTCTACTTTGGCTATCCCAGCTTCATGAAAGGAAGTTGACGTCCGATAATCTCCGATACCGTGCAACCTCCCCCCTTCTTGACGGTCGATATTCTACCACCGCCGGCAGTTTTTTTCTCCTGAGCCCTCCAAACCATAAAAACCACCCTCAACTATATTTTCATCCCTTTAGCTCAGGAGTATTTTTCACTGCTGGTCGGATTTGTGTTTAATCGCTTCCCTTGACAATGTCTGTAAACTGGCATTAAATAAAAAATTTTTATTTATATTCATTCAATAAATCTACATTCCTGCATTGTATGGGAAAAATCCATGCTGACTTGCTTGCTCTTTCAGCGTGGAGCTCAAAATGATTTATGGAACCCTCTCCCGACTGAATGCCGCTATACGCGTTTAGGACGTGATAGGCTTATCCGACCCATGGTCTTTCAAGGAACGTCTATGACTGCATGTACCACCAGTAAGGATTTGGGTTTAAGTCACTCACAAAATTTTGATCTTTTGCCACACGCTAACAGAATTACGGTCAAAGTCACCCATATTTGTGACTTTATTTCTTACAATTTCAATCTGTCCGAAATAAAAGTAAGACTGAATGGAATAGTTAGGGGCGTTTGACGTCCAGCTAACAAGTCGCGACTTCGAGTTCCAGGTGTTCCAAACTTCGGGATTTTGGTATGACTGGCTGACGACGGCTACTAATCCAGAAATTGCCATTCCAGTCTCCCTTATCTTTGTCGGTAATGCCATTTTACTCTATGGAATGTTTGTACTTCCCATTGTCGAATATCCTTACCCATTCTTATGTTAAATGGACGATGCTATTCGTTCGAAAATTCAAAGAAATAGCTTGGATAGGTTGACGTGTACGCTGTAAGCCGCCTCAGTTTTGCTTATCGCCGACACACAACAGAATTTCACTCTGGTTCCCGCATTATTGTACCCTACCCCAAATCGTTGATTTTTGCTGTTCTTGGAGTCATTTCCTCATTTCAACCCCATGCGTTCTGTCGACGGTCTTGGCGGAACACTCTGTATTCACCATCTAGTAGTTTGGTTGCATCTCCCTTTCCCTCTCCTCGGCTAGACTCAAAGCAGACTGCAAGCGATCTGGGTTCCTCTCGTCTCGCCACTTTGACGTAAGTGGCCTCATCTGGCATATGCATTCAGCCTTTACGATGTCCGTTTCGAGCCTTTTAATCAAGACCGCATTTTGGCCAGCCTTGTCTGACCCTCATTGTTACCCCTTCATGATATCCATTATGCACTGTCACATGCAGGCCGGTCCTGCCCGCTTTTTATCCTTTCATGACGGACACATTTTTTCTCCTATAATATCAGTTCTGTCATGTTCATTTTGTTTATTTGTTAGGAGTTTATTTCACTGCTCGCTCATCATTCTTCGTAACAGACTACTTATTCAATATCTATGGATTATGTATTATATAGACTGTGTTTACCTGTTCTAAAATTCATGTAAAAATACATTTTTACTTGCTATGACCGGATCACCACTGGTCATGAATAAAAAAAATTATTACTATTATTATTATGCTTATTATTGTTACGATGCGAGTGCAAGTCTTGCATTGGATGCTCCTATATCCTGCTAAAGGTCGAAAACTCAAAAACGAGCTGGTTTTTTTACGGCAGCTCGTGCAAGAGAGCAATGGTGGACAAACTGCGGTCAACAGCGTTACGGTTAAGGAGCCAAAGGCAAAGAGCAGAAGTCCAAAACGGCCAAAGAACAAAGTTTGTGAAAAATTTCAGTGTAAGGGCGCGGATACCTATAACGGTGGGATAGTAACGACCTAGACTCGTGCTTCTATAGGGGACAACCGAAGCGAACCATCGGCTTCTCCCAGCCATTCCATATGCTCAACAGAGTCCTCATTCCAAAGTCAAGGAACAAACTCATGGCGAGGGGGAGTGGGTAGGCACCACAACAAGTGTGTGAAGCC